CATAGCACGAGTACGAATTCGAGTCCCTTTCGCGATCGAAGTTTTGACCGTAACTCGTCAACCTTAAAAGAGTTCGGTTAAAGGTACAGCTCACGATATTGTGAGATACCCTCTTGTGGTAGAAATGGGGAAGCGTTGATGTAGAGGACAACATCGAAGGCAAAAAAAAGCGAGAAATCCGCCTACTTCAAGGCTTTTTAAAAGTAGTGCAAGGGGAGGTTGTACGAGATCACCGCAAGGGAAATGGTATGTAAGGGTATTTGAACGAGATATAACTTGCTCCCATTGCGCGAAGAGGTGACTACATCAAGCCAAAACTGTACAGAACTGCCTTTCACTGCCACCATGAGTCATGCCAAGTTGCTTAAATTTTCTACATGGGATTCCCTTGAGATAGTGCAGCCGCGACAAAACCGTTGAAACTTGTACACGATGGGTGTGGCATTCATACTATACAGTCTCTGACCCCTTATTGTGCCCTATCCATGACGTTTTTAGACCTTATAATGGCAGGTATGATATAAGGGGGAGCTTCGAATTCATACTATAGGGAATCTCAGAGACCATTTTTATCGTGAACTGTGCCTTTAATTTGATGGTTCATGAGGCGGATGTATGGGCAGGAGTGATTCACTTCTGAATCAATCCTGCCCCACTATCAAGAAGCAATTCCTGATAAAAACCTTTTCAGACGTTATTGTGCGCGAACCTTTGTCATTTTAGGTGTTCTCAAGTATTCGCAGTTGTCAAAAACAAACGGCACAATATGGATCAACTAATCGATCAGTATGACTATGTGGCTGCCGTTCTAATCGAGTCCGTTGTATTTCTTAATTTTTTTATCAACTAAATCACAAAATGTTTGTGGGAACGGACCACCTTTGAATTCTGAAAATTGGATCGATTTTCTTCTCAGATTGGCTGAAAAGAAGGTGAAGACTTGTGGCTCGTTCTCTGATCTCCCTCGACTTTCTCCTCGTCTTCATAATTTCTTTGCGTCTGGTGAGCTACAGTGCGGCATGTTAAGTAAGTGAATGAATTTTGATCAAAGCACCTGATAAAAGTCGACAGTAAGTGACTACTTAAACGAAAAATGACTAGGCATAGTACATCTTCATGAAATACATTTGAATATTTAAATCCTCGTTATTTTTACGAGTACGCGTAGGATGCACCAAAGGGCACCAGATTCCCAAAAGTTCTAAATGTGAGGGGGACTCGGGGAGGTTAAATTGTCATACATAGTATTAGGTCATCTCATTCAGAAGTACGCAGACATCCAAAGGGATGGCGGGTTTAGGAAAGAGGCTGTCACCATCGACAGTGTTTTGATCAGAAGCGGGTACCGTCAGCTACTACACTGCCCGATTTCGACGTCATGGCTGCAGCAGAAAATATTGACAAACTGAAAAGAAGTATTACCGAAAAGGAACAACGCGAAATTATCAAATGGGGCGTTATACAAGGAAAAGCCGCCGCTCAAATTCATCGTGAGCTCAATCAACCAATGGACGGGACAGAGTTCTCCAAGCGTAATGTGCAGAAATGTGTGCGAATGTTCAAAGAAGGAAAAACGGAGACAAGTGGAGGCCGAGGTGGTGCCCACGATGTTCACTCCGCACACGAAGAACAAGTAGCTGAAATCAAGCGTTGAATGGCTGAGCGCGGAGACTGGACCATTGTCGAACTTGCCCGCGAAACCGGCACTCCTGCTACTACCGTTGGCCGAGTTGTGTCCAAAGATTTGAAGATGGTCAAGAAAATGTGTGTATGGATACCTCATTTACTTGCAGAAGCACAGGTCCAAAACCGAATTGATGCCTGTAGTAACAATCTTCTCCGCCACCGAGGTCACCCACGACTCTTGAATCGAACGTTGGTTATAGATGAAACATGGGTGGGTTTGTACATACACTGAGCCCGAAAGTTACAAACGTCGGGTATGCATGTACGCCGATGAAGAACCGCCCGAATCGGCTCATGAAAAGTTACGTGGTTCCAAGCGGATGCCCAACATGGCAATAGATTTCTGATGCGTGGCGTTCTGGCGACTGTCCAGGAAAATGACCGTCACTGCTGAAGTATATTGCCAGTTTCTCGACGGTAATATCAACAATTGGATAGCACCACACAACTTCAAGAACGCAACTGTCGCTCATGACAATGCCAAGCCCCACGCATCTCGAATTGTGCAGCAGTTTTTTGAAGAAAAGGATATTGGAACCTGACTGCAATCGGCGCTTTCTCCCGACCTCTAGCCGTGCGACTTCAACTGCTTCGGTCACATGAAGATACGTCTCAGTGGTAAACGCTTTGACAACTGGTCGATCGCCGAAATGGACATCAACAGCATTTTATCTGGACATGTTGAAGAAAAGAAGCTACTTGGTGTCCAGATGCTACCTGGACGCTGGGAG